GCAGTATATACATTTGAATACATCACCTCATGGTGATGAGCACTTGCAGTCTCCACTCAATGTTGAACGTGTAGCAGTAAACACAACTTTCTGAAAGAACAATATTTCTTATACCATGACTTGTTTGAAAGCTATCTTCTAAATAATATTTCCCTGGAGTTTTTACCTCTTTCATACTCCAGAAAAAATGACTGAAACAAGTTGTTGATTTTAATTTATTCCTTTTGAAAGGTGGAAGTCTAAAATAATATCTTTCTGTTTTTCTTCCAGGAGGATTACCCTCCTAGTACCCTCCTTGGGGGTTAGTGCTATTTCAGTTATTTTTGAGCCTATTCTCTGTTGTTCTCCTGTGATACTGTAGAGCAAGAAATAAAACCATCTGTGTTTTCTAGTACTCCTCATAGCTACTTTTAAGAAGAACCTATAAGGACAAATAATAAAATGCCTTGACGACTACCCTTACTGGTGTAATGTTCCACTTGCTGGGAGAATCCTGACTCTTATTTTTTTCACAGGCCTCCAGAATTGGCATCAAAATATGCAAATTTCTCTGAAGGGGTGTGCAAACCTGGTTATGCATCAGCACTCATGACTGTCATCTTCCCAAAGTAAGTGATTAGTTTACCATTATTTTTCTCTTCCCCAGTAATTTCTCATCCCTCGGGGTGAGTTTTTGGCTGCAACTCTCCTGAAAACTGGCATTAATCTGTTGTTTTATTGGTGCCAGTGGAGACCAGCGTGAAAACTTCGGATTATGTGAGAGGTCAGTGGCAACAGTTTAATTGATTTCAGTCCGACTCTGAGCTTGCTCCAGGAATGCAGCAATCTCTGTCTTAAGCAATATAACAAATTGTGCTGAGAGTGCGTGCCACAGATAGGTGGTCAAGTTCACTGCTGGTACCGGGTGATCCAGTTCCTAGAAAGCTCAAGTCATGCAGTGACAGATTAAGTCATTTAAAGTAGTCAAGCATGGTGCTTTTGACAACACGGCAGGTGCCTGAAGGCTTTTTGCAGTAGTGTTTTCCAAAGGAGGCTTGGAGAGGCTAAGACATGTAGTTAATACGTTGTACATCTTATTGAGTTTGAAAGCTTTTATTATCTAAAGTATTCTTAGTTTCTTCAGAATTTCTTTCCCTCAGGAAGAGTGGAAAATCCATTGCAGTTCTTTTGTTTGAAAGCTCTTAGAAATGAGGAATGCAGTCATAACAGGTGAATCAAAATTGTTTATTTTAAAATTTGACATATGGTTCTTCTCAGCTCTCCATGTGGCTCCTGCATTTCTGGAGTTTGTAGAAATGCTGGGGGCTGGTTCAGAAGACAGATTGGAGAGATGAACGTTACACTGTTGGGCCTTCAAGATGTCAGTGTGTTTTGTTCATCAAAGGGAAAATTGAAATGTCATTTGATCTTTGTGTACATGCTTCCAAAGTGTGTGGATAAGATCTCTAGAATCCACTTCTCAAAAGTGGATTTTTTTTTTAAACACAATTGGCACTTTTCTAAATGATAAGTTTATCTGTTTTGGGGGGAAATTCCATGCCTTACCCATATGGAGATTAGATTGGATGACCATGACCTTCTAGCCAGTCTTGAAAGTGGTGATGTTCTGTATTTGTTTTTATTGGCAAGCTTGGTATCTGGAGACATTTTAAAAAGAATATCTGAGATTGTCCTGTAATCACAAGATGCTGCTGCCAGACCTTAAAAGAAAACAAAACAGCAAGTGTTGAGGCAGTGGTCTCCAGTGCCAGCATAAAACAAACAATAGTCAGTATTATCTGTCGTGTGAATTTTGGAACTCTGGATGAGTCTAAATAAACAATAAAACTGTAGGCAGATACATTATCATCCTCATCTTTTTGTAAGAAGTCTGAGTGCGTTCAAATCTGCATTTGTATGTGTGTTAGCTGTAAATAGTATAGAAGAGGGAGATGGAGCAATTTACTAAGGTAAGATGTCTGTAGCTAAAACCTTCCTGTCTTTAAAAGTTGAACCATAACTGCTTTTTCTAGAGCTGTTGTTATATATTCTTTCTCTGGATATAGCTTAAGTACGGTGAAGAGCAACACTGTTGAGAACAGATATTTCCTCTAGCTTGAATTACTTCGTGATCTAAGGTGTGATGTTTTTCTCGTGATAATATTATTGTGGATAACAGGCTAGTTATCTTGATTTAAAGATTCAGCTGATGGAGAGTCTGGTAATAACGGTCTAGGCGATTCCTATAGATAAACTTTTTACTGCAAGAATATTCATTTTGCTTTTGGGTTAAAGTTATGCAAGTCTCTGGCTTCCAGAAGCAATTTCTTTTGTGTGCAGGAATCTGAAGTTTTTATTTTTCTCCCTGAGTAGGTACTTGGCAGACCCAACTGTTCAGTCACCTTCTCCCCAACAGCCAATTACTTTGGACTAATACCATGTAAAGAGGTAGTATCTTGTCCCTGGTAGAATTTGGTATTTTATTCATAATTGAAAAAAATCATGTAGTTCTATGAGTCTTTCTTACTGGAGATTTGTATTCAGTTGCTTCCCTAATGTGACACCTAAATTTCATCAACATATTTTTCCAGGATATTCTTTATTCTTTATTAACTCAATTTCAAATGGACTTACCAGTATTTTAGCTAGAATTAATATAAGGGCGGCTGAGGTCTAATGCTGCCATGAATTTCATGCTTCATTTTCACACACTGTTTCTTCTAAAATTTCCTTCACAGTCAAAGAACTATACAAAGTAAAAATGATCAGACTAAGCATCTCTTCTTTTAGAACATTTAAAACTTGTGGATTTTATTTTTCAGTTGCTCATACCATTAGAAAAATGTCCTCTTTCAGGCTGACGTATTTGCCTTGGAAAAAAAAATGTATTTTTTTCTATTTAGATAAAGTTGGTTTGGCTGTTTTCAAGCATGAATAAAATGAATAAATGTTTTCTCTTTTGCAAGGTTCCTGACTTTTTGATGCAATTTTAAATGTAAATAGGCAAAATATGATGGAAATAGTTCAGATAGAACAAATATTTTTCAGAGGATGTAACTCTTCTTGTTAAGTGCTGCTTTAATGGTGAAAATGTGACTTTTGACTTTACCAAGCATAAGTATTCACTAAATGGATTAGAGCAACGCTTTGAGAAATCTCAAAATGTGATTGCTGGTAAGGAAAGATTGCTGGTAAGTGGGGTTATTTTTGTGAGGGCCTCTGTCAATCATTTCTTATTCTAACAATACTTAATGTATCCATCAATGATTGGTAGCTGGAAAGAATCCAGGGTTAAGTGTGCAGATGGTACACTTACTGGAGAGCACTATATGAATGATTGTTCTGCAAAAGTAACCAATCTGGATTGCCCGATTTAAATGACCGTTACTTTTGCAGAACAATCTGGATTGCCCGATTTAAATGACCACAGGCCAACAAGATATATTTGAAAACATCCAAATGCTTGATTATATGTGTTAGAGTAACAAATACAGCTCATACTTAAAGAAGAGGACAAGTCCTCTCTCAAAACAGACGCCAAAAAGCTTTATGAAACTTCACAGCTGAAATTTGTCACGTCAAGAAAATTTGCGGTTTGTTCTTTACCAATTAAAAACAAAACCACAAATCTCCTAGAATGCTGTGTCCAGGTTGGATGCTGAAGCTCTTAGAAGGGAGCAGAAATGAGAGATTGAAGGAAAGCCATAAAAGAATAAACCAGGATTGGCTTAAGTGATAAAGCAAATGAGAAACAAGTTGTCTTTCTGAAGAACAAGCCTTCTTTCTGCAGATCTTATATCCAAATGAGGAGAATAGCAAAGAGCACTAAAGTTGGCAAGTTAAATATAAAACTGTAGTGAAGTACACCAAAAAATGTAGAGGGGCAATTTTACGAAGACATAAAATATAGAATGTTTCTCTATGTGTCAGAGGTAGAAGGTCTGCCAGAGATCCTGATGAGCTGGTAGATGATTATAGCATTACACTTGAGCTAGAGGAAGATAAAGACATAACAGAAAAGTTTTGCTTCACTTCTGGCTACAGAATAGTTCCATAAAGGAAGCCTCCCCCCAGCAGGGGACAAACTGGAGAAGATGACAGGACATGGACATTCTTGAGCAGAACAGTGAAAGGAATTGCTAGGAAAAACTCTTGGCAGATTTGCGTATGGTTGCACAAAATTGTTACTTAAATTAGAACGGAAGAATGAAGAGCGATAAAGGTGTTGTGGTTTTAAAAAGGGAGTATAGAGCTCTTTGGAAAACTACCAGTGAGCCTGGCTTTCTGTATTAGCCACCTTGATAGAAACTATATATATAAATAGAAATTAATAGTCAAAGGAGAAAAGGTGATAATGGGGGAGAGTCAGTTGTCTTCAGCAAAAGCAAATCCAGCTTTGTAAATCTGTTCAGGTTGTTTGAATGTCTGAAGGAACATTTGATAAAGGCAGCATAACTGATGGAGCATGGCTAGAATGTCTTAAAAAAATCTTGGGAGTTTCAGAGACTATTGGGAAATTAAACCGGTGTAATCCTGTAGTGAGCTAATAACTATGTAAGGATGGTAAACTCAATGGAAATAAATAATAATGTTACACAATGCAGGAGGTTACCCCTGGAGTCCTATAGAGAATGTGTACTGGGATCTGTGCTGCTTCAAGGTCTCGTAAAATAGCCAGAGCACCAAATAAATAACCAAGTGCTGACAAATTTTTCCAGGTAGCGAGACCAAAAGCTAAGTATGAAGACTGTCAGAAATTTCACAGTACTGAGTGATGCTGCAATAAAATAGCAGGCCAAATTCAGTTCAGATAAATGTAAGGTAGTTTTTGTGGGAAAGACTGATCTGACAGCATATGGCTAATGATGGACTTGGATGTGTCTTACAAATCAGGAGACACATCTTGGAATTGCTGTGGATTGTTCTGCCTTTTTTTTTTTTTTTTAGTTTTAGTTAAAAGACCAATACAGCCTGAGGAATTGCTAGAAGAGAAATGCAGAAAAAAATGAGAATTATGCTACTGTATAAATACACAAGGTACCTTTGTCTTGAAAAATGTTTGTAATTCAACTAATTTCAAAATGGATATACAAGAATTAGTTGTATGTGTAATAGTAATGAAGAATAAGCAGTGAATGGAGCAGTCTTCACGTTCAGGAAGTCTAATAGAGACTTAACGAGCTAAAAAAGGCATTGATAAAATAATGGATGGCATGGAGAAGATGCTTAGGTGATTCTCTCCTAGTATGGAATTCAGAGATGGCAAATGGAAATGTGTATCAGGTTTAAAATGAAGTGTTATGGTGTGCTGTTTTCAGTTACTTTCTCTGAGAATGAGTTTTGTAGGAGACAAAAAGTAGATTGACAAGCAATTACACAAATTCATGGGAGAATGATCCATCAAGATCCATAGAACACGTGTATGCAAATACAGTCTCTGGCAAGGAAATATGTAAGTCACAAGAGGCTGGGAGCCAAAAAGATATTGAGAGCAGAGTGTAGCTTTACATACCATGTTTCTTTGCCTCTTTACCGAAACATTTGCTAGTGGACATAGTTAGATGTTGAATACGGGGCCAGGTGCATGTTTGCTCTAATTCATTGTGCCCAGACTTGTCCTTTTTTAACT